CTGTCTGGTGAGTGCACACGCCCTATGGCAAAAACCTCTCCAAAAAAAAAATATATATATATATAAAAATTTGTTGAATGCAGAGAGGAATGTCTGCAAGGAAACAAAACAAACAAACAACTAATAGTGGTGGAAGCGCGGTCTGGGCAGAGGAGAGAGGCCTTTCAATTTTTTTTTTTTTTTTTTTTTTTTTTTCCAATTCTAGCTTAAAAAAGCAGAAAGTAAATAATGTCAGGTCAATGAATATCAGATATATTTTTTGACTGTACATTACAGTGAAGTGTAATCTTTTTACACCTTGCAAGTCCATCTTATTTATTCTTGTAAATGTTCCCTGACAATGTTTGTAATATGGCTGTGTTAAAAATCTATACAATAAAGCTGTGACTCTGAGATTCATGTTTTCCTAAGATATTCGTACTGGTTTCTTCCTGGGTTAGGGTGGGAGGGAGGTGGGGATAGATTGAAGAAGTAGGGGACATATATTTATATTTGTTTAATCTTTACAACTAGAAAAAATACAGAAAATATTTATTTCCTCTTTGCAGATGAGAAAGTTGAGGTTCAGAAATAACATGGGATTTCCTATGACTACACACTGAGCTGGTAAAAGGGTTGGGTCTAAAACAGTATTTCTCAAGTGTCATCCATAGAACACCAGCAACAGAATCACTAAAAAATTCATTAAACACACAGACTTTTAATCCCCACAAAATCATGATTTCAGGATCTGCATACTAACAGGCTGCTAGGTGTATCAGCCAGCTATTGCTGCATAATAAACCACCCCAAGACTCAGTGACTTGAAACAACAGTCTTTTATAGCAATCAGCTGGGACTTGACTGATCCAGGCTGAGCTCAGCAAATCTCAACTGCGCTCATTTATGTGAGGCTCTACTCTAGAGGCTGGGGCACATTGACTGATATAGCTCCACTCAATAAGTCCCTTTTCCTCCTCCCAAGACCAACAAAAAGCTTAGGCATATGCTTCTCCTCATGATAGCAGGAGCATGAGAGAGAAAATCTAATTATGTAAATGTTTTACTAAGTCTTTGCTTGACACATATCTACAACATCCCATTGGATAAAGCTAGCTATAATGCATGAAATATTCAGAATCAAGGGGTAGGGCTTCTATCTCTTGACATAGACCCCTCTTCTCAATTTTCCAGTAAATGCTGAGATTAGGTACCAAACCAACAGTGTCTGATGAATCTTTTCATTCTCATCTCACAGTAGGTCAGCTATATCATTTCACCTGGAAAATTTCTAAACATGCCAACTCTGATTCAATAGTTCAGCTTAGGAGCCAGGAATCTGCATGCTTGGCAATGCCCTGGCTGATTATAATACATGCTAAAATTAGGCAAGCGCTATTTCAAATGCCAT